TCCTTTATCGGGAACTTTTAACTACTAAAATGACTGCCAGATTATATTAGTTTACTTTCATTTAGTTAATCCTAAAGTCCAGATTAAGTATATCTGATATAAAAAAAAGTGTATCTGATTTTTTTTAAAGTATATCTGAGTTTATTAATGACAAGTTTTATCTTAGATGCTGGCTTTAAGGGAGTGAGATACTAACGTAACCATTCAATAATAAAAAATATGTGATTATTCAGAGATTGTTCTTGTAATTTCTATTAACTTTACAAATTCAGAATTAATTTTGGTGAATAGGGTATTGTTCGAAAAAAGAAATCTGTGTTTTCAAAAAATCATCTGGTGACCTTTTTAAATGGGACATAAATAAAGGTGCTTTTCAGTCTGAGTTTAGAGTTTAGCAACATGTCCTTACATGAATATTTATGTATGATGTATTGTTTATCACCTTACACTCAGTTGTCATAATTTAAGAAATTTGATAATGGTAGAAATTTTTCATACTCTTTATTCCCAGAGTAATTACAGTAGGGGAATGATTTGTTGAAGTTAAAAGAGAAGGCCCTCTATTTCCCCATGGGTATATGATACATTCTTTTGGTATTTTATATCTAAAATGTTTTAACCTAGAGATTTGAGGGTTTGCTTTGATTTTATTTTGTCTTTTTGAAGAGAGGAAGTTCTAAAAAAATAACACACTGACTTACTCATCATCAAGGAATTACCACATGAAATATCTTAGAGTGAGTTGATGCATCTTTTCTTTACAGGCAGGTTTGAATTTGATGTTCTTGCTTGAGTTGGTGCTTCCTATCTTAGTATGTCTTGAAGCACCAGTGCCTACGTGAAGTTTTATATTACAGGCTGGAGGGTTTGTTGTTTTCAGTTAAGTTCTACCTCCTTTCATGTTATTGTTGTCTTTTTGGGGGGGGGGTTTGTTGTTTTTTTTACCTTGTTTACATATTCTGTATTAGAAGTAATTCAATTTAGATTGGTTGTAGAAAATAGGATTTGTCTGTTGCCCTCAAATTATTTCCTTTGTGTTTCCAAACTACTCTGCTTCTTCTGTAATGATTTAATGGTCCCATAGTCTAATAGTGTTTATCTTAAGCATTTTAATGTTATTATTTTTACCTGGCAGGCTTACCTTCAACAGACTCAAGAACTGGTTTTACTTGAAACCATAATGCTACAAACCCTAGGTATGTACTTATGTCAGATATTATTTTTGTGTTCTGTTCTTCAGTGCAGTGTCCTAAAGATGGAATAATTTTATCATTGAACAAAGTTTCATTTTAAAACAATGTTTGGGGCCAGAATAGTATTACCTGGTTATAAGGAAACCATTTTTTAAAAAATTTCATTTACCATTAATTGAATGGTAAACATAGTTTTCATTGTGAAAGACTGCATATGATTGTAATGTGTACAAATATTCTGACTTATAGTCAGTATTTAATAAATTTATCACAGTTTTAATGTGACACAGTGTAGTTTATTTAAACGATCGTCTTTTTCTAAAAGTTACATTGTCTGCAAGTTTTTTGCAATTTAAGTGATCTCTAAAGATTATTTATTCAAATCTTTCACTTTATTGTTGAGGAAATTGAGACCTAACAAGGTCTCTCTTGTGTGAAGTCATATATTCTGGAAGAATTTAGCAGTGTATGATGGGAATAACATGGGCTTTATGGAGCTCTTGGTTTAAAATCCATATGCCTTTGACTTGCTTTTTAAGCTTGGGCAAAGTTGTTTTACCTTTCATATCTCCATTCTATATATGCGAGGTGGAGAAATAATGTCTGCCTTAACATTGTGAATTTGAAGATGAGAGAGAGTATATAAAAAACATGTACCACATAGTGTGTGTGTCATAAGTAGCCATTATTCATTATGGTAGTTATTTATTTATTACTCCATTCCCAAACATTGAAAAGAAGTGAAGAAGTGTGATAATCATAGCCTCCCATCATGACAGACTTTTTTTTTTTTAAGAAAAGTAGCTTGTTTGTAATAGATATAACTTGTTTGATGTTTTTATAATATAAAAAGATATAAAAATAAAAGTGAGAATCTTATTATCTCCAAATCCAATGATTTAGCATGTTAGTGCTTTATTATATGACATTATATAAATATGAAATTTACAAAGATTTGTGTAATAAAGGTTAAAAGGAAAATTACGTTATTTTAAGGGGAATGTTAGAATTTATAAGATACATTTCTGTGGCTTTGATTAAAGTATGATTTGCAGTTTTAATTACAGTAGATACAGATCACACAGCAGTTTTAGAAATCTAGATTACCTGTTTGTCAGGATGTTATTCGTTTACTGCTTCTGAAGACACTAGATGTGACCTCCACTTTTTAAAAAAAGGAAAAACCATGCCCTGCCTAAGGCTTGTTTAGACATTGAAAGCTCTTTCAGCATTTTATCTTTGGTTTTAGAAACAGTGAATTAAAGAATTTTGAGCCTACAAGGTTCACTTGTCTTAATTAACTTTATTATCAGTGAAATGTAATTATAAGCTAACTGGTTGAAACCCTCTCATCTAAGGCATACTAAGAAAATAAGAGGACTATAAATCATTTAAAAGGTCTTTTTTATCCCACTATGGCCGAGGGATTATGTTTATGAAAAATACTCTTTTTACATCTTCAGAAAGAGTTGTAATACATTTAAAAATATGTTACATAGTTGAATTCTTTGCTTAATAGTTACATTTTCCATAATTTTAATTTGTGTTTAACCTGAGGGTAATCTCAAACTAATCATAATTCAGAATTTTTAATAAATATCACTCCAATCTACGAATAGCTTTGTTAACCAGTTTTCATTAAGTGGAACATTGTTTTTGAGAAGAAATTATTTCTCATCATTGAAGGTATAATGAGCATGTCAGTGATAGAAAATAACTTTGTCTTTGGATCTTTTTAATAATGAACGATGTATTATACACATTTATGGTTGTGCTGACACATGGCATTTCTCAGGCAAGTATTGTAGTGTGGTAAGTGATTGGGAAAAAAGTGCTTTTCATTTCAGGTTTTGAGATCACCATTGAACATCCACACACAGATGTGGTGAAATGTACCCAGTTAGTAAGAGGTAAGTGATCTTTGAAACTTCTAAATTAAGTATTAATGCTTTTTATTGTCTGTAATTGATTTGAATGAATTTTATCAAAATGGGGAGATGTCGTTTTGAAGCAACATCTTTTGGTGTCGTACATCTACCTATTCATCTACTTCTGTGTGTGGTTCTACCTGGTGAATTAGTTTCCTTTAAACTTACAGGAGAATCACCTTTCACTAAAAAATTGGAGGGCTTCCAAATATTAAGACTCTCTCCACCTCCCCATTAGGCTAAGACAGTCCCATTTCATTTAATATTTAAGAAGTTGGCCATTGACACATACACACAGAAAATTTCTGGTCTATCTCAAGCTTTCGTTGACTTCTAGAAAAATGATTACAATTTAAGAATTTGGAGGCCATCCTCAGATCTTTCAGATAAAAATTGTCTTAGCAGGTTTGCCATTTTGGAAATATTTTCCCCATGTTCATTTGAACAAAATTGGCTTAATACATTTTTCAGAGTTCTTTAGCATTATTGAAAATAATTTCTTGTTTGTGTGTTTTGGGGAAATACATAGTATGCTACAGACAGCAAGCAATGTGCCTATTAAACCTTTTGAAACAGGAGTAGGAACTTTTTGTATTATTTGCTTTACTGCTTATAAAGCATGTGGTATACATTTTTCTACTCTTGTTAATGAATCCTATGTATCTGTTCTTGTATCCCTAGATATATTCTTTACACAGTTGCATGTTGTTACACTACTTCTTACTTCTACTTTCCTGTTTCCCATTTGAAGTGTTAATGTACTAAGAGCAACCACTTGGAACTTTCATTATGCCTTTTTCTGTTACTTTTTGAAAATGAAATTTTGCAGTTTCATTCTTTTACCCCCAGATTCTTTTCTTTAGGTTTATTCTAAACAAAATGGGTAAGACTTTTAAAGGCTCTGCTTTGTTTTTTAGTGTTTACCTGAATATTCTTATATTTTATTCCTTCTAAATTTAATTCATATACCTGGTAGCATTTTATTATGGTAATGGCTACATTTAAAACAAACCTGTTACCACAGTGTCATTGTTAAGACATGGACTTCTGAAAGTCCCATTTATATTTTTTTAATTCTAATAGCTAGTACATGTTATGACTTGTAGAACATACTTAATTATGGTTCCTGTACTTCATGGTTATTGGAATATAATTTAGAGCACATTTTCATCCCAGAATTACAGTGTAGTATAGAATTATATTAGATAACTAGTGTATATGTTTGAATTAAGAAAAAAAAGTTTTAGAGTAGTTTTCCTAAAAACTTGAAAGAATAAGCTGTTTTGTCAGAATAATGGGGAGCCATGTAACTGCTTTAAACTAAGCCTAATGAAAAAAGATATTTATATAGGTTAAAACATATATATATGTACTTAGTAGGAGATGAAACTTGATTTTCAGCTTAGTATCATTGTGAAATTTGAGTCCTCTTTAAAAATCCATAATCAGAGTTCAGTAGCTTTTGTACATGTTCCCCTATATCTAAAGCTAGAGACATCAAGTCCATTCATTTGCGAAGTTGAATAGTAAGTTTTTAAAAATTCACAAAAACTACAAATTTGATGTTTTATCCAAAGCAGAATATTTAAATCTAATTTATTTGTTGTTGTTAACACTTAAAATGTGACCAATTCTTAAATTTTAGTACAAATCTTACATATGTTTAACTTCCATTTTGTCTGACTAACATTTCAGGTAACTATAGTTTACATTTCACTCCATTTAAAAACATTCTTTCATGTTTGGTGTCTGTTTTTCTTTGCTCTGTTAAAATTTTCAGCTAACGAACATTTTTCCTACATTCTTCCTCTGTTGCACACTGTTAATAGGTTATTGAATTTAGATATATTCTGAGGTAAAAACTGCTATGGCAATTTAAAATTATTTTTACTTCCTTCTCTACATATTTTGATTCTTTGGGGGGCAGGGGGGTGGTAAATGGTTTGGTTTCTTTAAAGTTCTTCGCGCGACCCCCCCCGCCCCCCCTGACATGAGAAAGTTGATATTATGCTACTTTGCTGCAGAATTGGCTAATGTCATTTTACAGGGACCTTTCATTTCTGTGATTTCTCCTTCCCTCCCCACCAGGAAAGAATGCCATACATAAGTCACACTGCCTCCAAGACATCTGATGCTTTGACACTCTTCCTTAGCACAACTCTGCTAAGCCCAAATCCCTTTTGTATACCTTATGTTGGTGATCCACATGGGGCAGCAGGGATTACAGGTGCCATGAAAAACATAGAGGGCAAATTTGAGGCCTGTTAGAGAGGGGTGAGTTGAGGTGAACTGATCCTAGGTGAGCAGAGGGGAAAGGTACATCGATGATTATGAATGTAATTGGGGGAAAAGGGAAATTATAGCAAAAGAATCTCTCTTGGGAAGAATAAGAAATCAGATAAAGTGAGCGGGGGACTGTTTTCAATTACAATGTCTTAAAAGCTAGTTGGTAAAAATTGCTTTTCCTTTGGGGACCAGTGTTGAAGCATCCTGATTCCCCGGAGTACTTATATCTTTTAAAGTTGACCATTGGATTCTGTAAGAAAAATATATGCAGTGGAGTTTTCTATATCTATGCCCTTAGGATGTGTCTAGGTTGTTTATTCCTTGTTGATGCTTAGTAGCATGAAAAACTGAGCAGTTTGTGCTCTCTTGAGTTTGGGGGGGTGGGGGTTTTGTTTTCTTTTCTTTGGATGGAAGTACTTAAGCCAACTTAAATATGATGACTGAGGATTAAGTCTGGCAGGCAACTCTTTGTATTTTGTATTAGACTTCAAAATCTTTTCTTCTTCTTCTTCTTCTTTTTTTTTTTTAAATCCAGGAGAATGCTTTATTGCAACTTTTAGCTGACTAGATGCTTAACTTAGTAACAAGTTTAGCCCTTGTAACTGGCTAGCTAAAAGCAAATCGGCTTGTTTCTCAGATCTTTGGGGGATAGCAAGAAACATTTGAGTGAATGTTGTTGAAGATTTTCAGTAGTATAGAAAATGATGGCGCTCTTGTGATATTTGTAAGTAGTAAGTAAAATTTACTTTTTGTGTACAAAACTTTGAAGTTTTTGTTGTGTTGAGAACTTTTTGATGGTAGCACATTAAAGCTGATAGTATTGTCTTCGTTTTTTTTTTTCTTTTCTTACAGCAAGCAAGGATTTGGCACAGACATCCTATTTCATGGCTACCAACAGGTTGTTATCCTGACCCTCTTTGTTGCACTGTTGTAGCACACTATAGCTTCCTTTAATGCAGGGCCCCCTCAATGTGTCTCTTACCCTTGTTGCAACAGGAGACTGGACCATCTACTGTGGTGGTACCTTCCTGTCTGCTTTGCGGTGTATTGTACAAGGGACTTTTGGCACAGAGGGGTTAAATGCACATTGTGAAGTGTAGTGGTGCTTTCTGATGACATATTCTCGATTTGTGAGTGCATAAGTCTAAAATTGGTAGCCTGAATAGCAGCTAAAGATTACAAAGAGCTAAACTTAACGTAGAAATTCGAGCAACTTGGTAAGTATAAAGCTATTTCTAGTTTACAATTATAGTTAAATGACAATTTTTTTAAATTTCACATTGATCCAGTTTTAACTTTAAAATAATCATAAAAGTTTTTTTTAATAAAATTTATATAACTTGGGTTTTTTTTCCAGATAATACCCACTAGTTGTAAATCAGAAGTAGCCACGTCCTGTCAGTGCCTAGATTTGACTAAGTACAATTTTTACTTTAAAAAAACTTACTTCCTTTTCAGTTTACATAAGGAAAAAAGTGTTGTGGGTTTGCTCTTGATAAACATTTTTCATCAATTCTGAACTGAACTGGAAGAATAATTTTTTAAAGCCTTTAATATCTAATAGATAATTCTGTTCTGGGTTGGTTATATTAATGCCTTAAATTTGTTTTTTAAATGGGTCGTTCGGGAGGAGGGGACCAAACTAGCATTGTGTGGTCCTTAATTTCTTGTGACACTGTTAAGTTTTATGTAAAGCTTTGGATTGGCAAATACCAATATATTTTCTTAGGTATATGTTGTTGGGATTTAACCTCTATCCCTAGGAATTTTGAAAAACAAAGTACTAAATATAAAACTTTCATTAGAAAAAGCTAGCTGTAACATGTTACATGCCCAGTTTGGGGCATATAGTAGAAGGAGAAAGGTAGCATTTTTCTAGTACTTAGCAGCATTGGGCCTTGAAGCTGTTCACCAAAAGGTAAGTTTTCTCTGTGGCTTTGCTGAAAAGAAGACAGAGGTTTACATAGATAAGTGTTATATTCTCTGAGAATTATGTTTGTTAACCCACATCAAATGGTAGAATTCCTGATTCTATAATGTGATGTTGAAATTACTTTGTCAATTTTACAGTCTTCTGCTTTTTCTTTACTTTTTTGCCATGACATTACAAAAGAAACAAAAATACTACAAAAAATTAAAATGTTATATGCTGATTATTGGAAATATAGTGTCTTCTCCTTTTATGAAGAAGTAAAAATACTTCAAAATTTAGAAATAGTAATATATTAGTAGTCTTAATAAAATAATAGTATAATGATCTGGGGAGTCAGAATGTAGAGAATGCTCATAATCTATGTAGGTTTTTTAGTGTTAGAATTTTATAACTATAGTGCTAGTTTTTAATTTAATAAGGTTTTGTACTGTAGACTTAAAAAAGAAAATCTTTATGTTTTTGCTCTAATCTTACTGGTAAATATTTTTCTTTGTTTTACATATTTGAATTACTATGGTTCTTCGTTTTCAAACCTGCTCTACAACAGTCTCCACCTTACCACCTTCTGTCTTCAGTACAAACCAACAGTGATAGCATGTGTGTGTATTCATTTGGCTTGCAAATGGTCCAATTGGGAGATTCCTGTGTCAACTGATGGAAAACATTGGTGGGAATATGTGGATCCTACAGTTACTCTAGAATTACTAGATGGTAAGTAGAGAAAAATAAATCCTTTTTTACATTGAAAACATTTTTTTGTATGGAAAAAGTCTGCCTACTTTTTGTATAGGTTTGAAAAAAAGCTAATCCCTGTGACTCATACTTAAGTGAACAGTTACCAGTTCTGGCCGCTCCAACATTTCCCCCTCCCTCTGTAGTTATTTTGATATTAATCCCAAATATCTCTTCAGCTATTAATATTTCAGTTTGTGTTTCAAGAGATAAGAGACTCCTTAAAAACGTTAACTACAATTTCATATTAACAATTTGGTAATAGATTTTTAAAAAGTATAATCACATGGTCAGGTGAATGTGATGAAAATAAGGATTCATTAGCCTAAAGGAAAAAAAACAAAAAAAAAGAAAGAAAAAACCTTGAAAATGTTTTAACCACCAATGAATATCTAAAGCCTTCAGGACTTTTCAAAAAATATATATATGATTTGTAATGCTATATATAGGTTGGTATTCGGTTATAACTTACTATAGAACATGTGAAGCAGTGAGCTAAAGGTATTTCAGGGTAACATTCCTTGCTCTGTAGTTCCACTGATAGTGACGTGTGTCGTTATTGCCTTGCATTACTAAATATGAATTGACAAAGAAAATCGGGGTACAAAATCTATAAATCATGAACCTGTAATTGGGTGTCCTGATAAGAAATTTCTCTGGTAAGAGAAAAGAGAGGCTGACCAGAGGTAGGAGAGATTCTTGGGGATTAAGACATTTTAACCAAGTATTGTAGATTTCAGAAAGGAAATAGATTACATTTCTTACCGAAGATATGCCTAAATTGGTATGTTAGGTTTTCAGTTTATTCTTTTTGTGGGCTTTCCCTAACTTCTGTTGCAAAATTGAAGCTAATGGGAAAATAAGATTTATATCTGTTGCTACTGAGGACATCTGTTACATAGAGACCCCTTTGGGTTTTGAATGTGATCTTCCAATAAAATCTCAACATGTTTCTATAACCTAGATGTTCATTTTCTGTGAAGGGCCAAAAGTAACTCTTTTAGGGTTTATGGGCCCTTCTGTCTATGCCAACTACACAACTCTGCCACTGGGGCTGCAAAGCAGCCCTGGGCAATCTGTAAATGAATGGGTGTGGCTGTGTTCATTTACAAACACATGGTACCGGTCATAATTGTAATATTGCCTACCTTTCTGGTAAAATATGCTTCCTTTTTAGATTTTTTGATTTTGGGTTTGTTTGTTTGTTTCCCTGAAAAATTTCTCGCAGAGTATATATCTCATGCCACATGATTATGCTCTTTTCCTTATGTCGCCAGAGGGGTTTTTTTGTTTTGTTTTGTTTTGTTTTGTTTTTAAGTTTTAACAAGAGAGAAGGGAGGGGCCCCTGGGTGGCTTAGTCAGTTAAGCAGCTGCCTTCAGCTCAGGTCACGATCTCAGGGTCCTGGGATTGAGCCCCAGGTCAGGCTCTCTGCTCAGCGGGGAATCTGCTTCTCTCTCTCACTCTCCTTCTGTGTTCTCCCCACCCTCCCTCAAATTAAAATCTTTTTAAAAAAATGAGAGAAGGAAATCTTAAATGAGTTGAAATGGCATCTTCTAAAAGTGGGGGCTTTTTTCATCTATGACTTGAAAATTAGTTTATCGATGCCACCATCTTACTTCAGCAGTTAACAGATAAGATAAAGTTTATATACACTATCCTAAAACAAAAGTTCACAAAAAGCAAGTAATCTGCCTTTTAACACTGCTCTTAAGTTATAGTTAAAGTTGGGTTTTTTGACACAGCAAGGGCCACCTAAATAATCTCTCTGCTTTCATTCTGAAAAGGCTCAAGTCTGTTACTCATTTGGAGAGCCACTGAGTAGGAATCTGGGACATTTAAGACATTGACAATTTCACCATTTCATATAGCAGTCTTTCTCTGTCTTTTAATCACAAAAAAAAAAAAAGAAAAGTAACAGTTTAAGATATTAAGATATATCTGAATTTTAGCCTGGTGTTTAAGCATCAGTGTTCACTAAAATAATTCATTTAAATACTTGGAAAAACACCATTGGCTTGGACTTGGCCTACCTGTAACATTTGTTGCTTGGCAGAGTTTTTATTTTCTGATTAATAACAAACCCTCATGTGTTTTTTGCATTTTGAATTTTTTTCTGTATAGTAGCTTTGAAGGGAAAAGCTCTATTTTAAGCATCATCTGTGATTTTTGTGCACATAACTAATAGATTAGCAGTGATTATTTGACAGATTCTTAAGTGTCCAAGTAGAAAAAGGTGGGGGTTTTTTCAGATTAGGAAGAATGGTAGTCCAGGCATTAGATTGTTTTCATTCAAATTGGATCAAAAAGTTCATGAATCTTGAGCAGGTTTAAGTTGTCACAGCTTATGAACATATAAGTGCCGAGGTTTTGCATATTTTTTGCTTCAAGAAAAATTTCGTATTGTCTGAATTTTCAGTATCAGTCTTGGCATATTTGCCTAGAATCATTTATAGAGAAGCTTACTGTGTATGCTAAAAAATAATAAATGAATCTATGTAGTCTCTACTGAATTGGCATTATTGATATTACATATTGTAATTCATTTGGTATGAATATTTGTCTTGAGTGGTCAATAGCTTTATTAATGGCACTATTTTGGGGTTAGGAAAGTAGAATTCATCACTGCACTGCCTTGGAAAAGTGAGTCATCTCACTGTAATCCCAAATTTAAGAAAAAAGTGAGGTAAAAATACATGACCAGGGTGGTTTTACTAATATGTTAATAGTAATAATTACTAGGAATCTTGAGTATAGATGGAGGAATTTTTTTCATTTAACACTGAAATAATTTTAAACTTAAACTATGGAATAGTACAGTTTCTATATACCCTTTACCTGGTTTCTCTAATGTTAACATCTTATATACATGATTATCAAAACCAAGAGATTAACATTATTACAATATTATTACCTAACTATAGGTTTTATCTGATGTCCTCAGTTTTTCTCTTCTAGGATCCTGTGTTCCATTTGCTTGAAATGCTCCTTAAATCTCTTCTAAATTATGTCAGTTTTTCTGTCATTCATTTTCTTTTGTGACCTTGACACTTTGAAAAATAACAGTCGGGGGCGCCAAGGTGGCTCAGTCGGTTAAGCGTCTGTCTTCGGCTCAGGTCATGATCCCAGGATTCTGGGATCAAGCCCCACATCAGGCTCCCTGCTCAGCAGAGAGTCTGCTTCTCCCTCTCCCTCTGCCACTCCCCCTGCTTGTGCACACGCATGCTCTCTTCTCTTTCAAATAAATAAAATCTTTAAAAAAAAAAAAATAATGGTCAGTTATAGTATAGAATGTTCCTCAATTGGGGTTTAATGTTTTTCAATATTAGATTGAAATTATGTATTTTTGGCAAGAATACCACAGAAATGGGAAATGGGTTGTACTTTACCCTGTGCATCTTATCAAGGACTACATCATATATCAAGGGTTGTTTGTTTTGTTTTTCTCAAAGAGTATACCTTATTACTGGTAATAATAACTCTGATCACTTGGTTAAGGTGATATCTGCTGAGTTTCTCCATTGTAAAGTTACTGGTCTTCTCTTTGTAATTAAATATCTTGAGGAAGGTATTTTAGGATTACACACAGATACCTTCTTTTTCCTCAAACTTTTGTCCATTAATTTTAAAGAATCTATTGATAGATCTTGCCTGCAATAATTGTTACTATGATGTTTGCCTAATGAAGATTTTCTATTTGGGGGGAATTTCAATGCTACAAAATTTTCCAGAGATCCTGAGTAAGCATGAGTGTGGGGGGAGAGTGATTTTTTTTTTTTTTTTTAAGAATTCATCTTTGAAAAGAGCAGTTCAGATCTGTGTCTACTTCTATATTTGCTGAAGGTTGAATAGAAGGGTGACAGTGAAGTAGATGAACTCGTGAGGCCCCTTTTTAATATTGCCCACTTGAGAGAAATATAAATCCTAAAGACACCTTCTAAGTTTTAAATTTAAATTTTATTTTTAGAGCTAACACATGAGTTTCTACAAATATTGGAGAAAACACCTAGTAGGTTGAAGAGGATTCGAAACTGGAGGGTAAGAGAATTGGCAGGGTTTAATAGAATATCAGTTTGTCGCTTATCTAACAATTACATAGCTAACCAGTTTGAATTTTTTGGTTAAATATCCTTATTTCCAGTATTCCTAGATAATTACAGTGTGTATTGTAAGCTGCATACACTCATAGATTATTCAACTGCTGTGTCCAGTGGACTTTGTTAAGTACTTTATAAATTGTGTGTTTAATTCTCACGGTGATTATAATGGAAATATTCTCCTTATTTTACAAATGGGCAAATTAAAGCCTAGACAAGTTAAATTACTTTCAAATGCTGGGCTAGGATTTAACCTGTATCTAACTCTGAAACCAGTGGTTTCCACTTTTTATAGCCTTCTTTTGGGCCTCTAAATAAGACATTTATTTACTGGCAACATAAAGCCTTAAACCCCAGGTGATTTTATTTGCATATATTTAATATGGATTTTTATAAAGCAAGGAAATTTGTATTAAATTCCTTTGCTGTCATTGCTTCTTTTGTGTTTTATTTAAATAGGCTAATCAGGCGGCTAAGAAACCAAAAGTAGATGGACAAGTTTCAGAAACACCACTTCTTGGTTCATCTTTGGTCCAGAATTCCATTCTAGTAGATAGTGTTACTGGTGTGCCTACAAACCCAAGTTTTCAGAAACCATCTACATCAGCATTCCCTGCACCAGTACCTCTAAATTCAGGAAATATTTCTGTTCAAGACAGCCATACATCTGATAATTTGTCAATGCTGGCAACAGGAATGCCAAGTACCTCCTATGGTTTGTCATCACACCAAGAATGGCCTCAACATCAAGAATCAGCAAGGACAGAACAGATGTATTCACAGAAACAAGAGACATCTTTGTCTGGTACCCAGTACAACATCAACTTCCAGCAGGGACCTTCTATATCACTCCATTCAGGATTACATCACAGACCGGACAAAATTTCCGATCATCCATCCATGAAGCAAGAATATGCTCATAAAGCAGGGAGCAGTAAACACCATGGGCCAATTTCTGCTACTCCTGGAGTAATTCCTCAGAAAATGTCTTTAGATAAATATAGAGAAAAGCGTAAGCTAGAAACCCTTGATCTGGATGTAAGAGATCATTATGTAGCTGCCCAAGTAGAACAGCAACACAAACACGTGCAGTCACAGCCAGCCAGCAGCAGTTCTGTCACTTCTCCCATTAAAATGAAAATTCCCATCACAAATACAGAAAAACCTGAAAAATACATGGCGGAAAAGAAGGAAAAGAGCGGATCACTGAAATTACGGATTCCAATACCACCCACTGATAAGAGTGCTAGTAAAGAAGAACTGAAAATGAAAATCAAAGTGTCTTCCTCAGAAAGACACAGCTCTTCCGATGAGGGCAGTGGGAAGAGCAAGCATTCGAGCCCACATATTAGCAGAGACCATAAGGAGAAGCACAAGGACCACCCCTCAAACCGCCACCACCCTAGCAGTCACAAGCATTCCCATTCACATAGTGGCGGCAGCAGTGGTGGCAGTAAACACAGTGCTGATGGAATACCACCCACTGTTCTGAGGAGTCCCGTCGGCCTGAGCAGTGATGGCATTTCCTCTAGTTCCAGCTCTTCAAGGAAGAAGCTGCATGTCAATGATGCATCTCACAACCACCACTCCAAAATGAGCAAAAGTTCCAAAAGTTCAGGTAGTTCATCTAGTTCTTCCTCCTCTGTTAAGCAGTATATATCCTCTCACAACTCTGTTTTTAACCATCCCTTACCCCCTCCTCCCCCTGTCACATACCAGGTGGGCTACGGACATCTCAGCACCCTCGTGAAACTGGACAAGAAGCCAGTGGAGACCCACGGTCCTGATGTCAATCACGAGTACAGTGCAAACAGCCAGCATATGGACTACAAAGACACATTCGACATGCTGGACTCGCTGTTAAGTGCCCAAGGGATGAACATGTGATCATTTGGTTAGGTCCATTTTTCCTTTACTTTTCTAATTTAAAAATGGTTAGAATGGAAAACTTTCTCCTGATCTAGCAGTGGTAACACCTGCTCTTGCTGCCACTGTATCAATATTTGTAAGTGCTGCTTTATTCTTCATTCTGAAAAGAAGAGATGATAGTAAACAAGTCTTTATCTCCACATATGATAGTGTTAAAAATACTGTAAAAGCATGGAAGGTGCAAAACTCAGTATTTCCACAATTGCAGCTAAGAACATTAGGATGAATGGCTGGCTGCTTCTAGGAATATAAGATGCCTCAAGCATTCATTATTTATAATTTGAATACTGTAGCTGTTTTTGTTGTTGTTGCTTGGCTTTTGAATGAGTGTAAATTGGTTTCTTTTGTGTATTTATACTTGTATGTATGATTTGCATGTTTCAATGATAAAGGGATAAAACAGTGTACTGACAACTGTTTACAAGAAAGTGGAGAAAAATGTACATACATTTTTGTATGTTTAGATATTACCATAAATACTCAGGATTGGAGCTGCTTGTAAGTATAACGATATAACTTTATTTTATCTTGTCAGAGTCCATCACTAATCTAAAACAAAGGTGGCACTTTTTCATGTTAACCTTAAACTCTAGGCCTTACTGGAAGCCACTGAAGGGGGACACTTCACTACCAGATGGGTATGCAGTGCCACAGATGGTCATGTATTTATACTGTGAGGCACTGAACTTTTGCCTTCAGAGCTTCTGACCAGGTTGGCTGCTGAAATAGCCCCTAATTTTCTGAAGGCTTGAAGAGGAAAAAATAAAGTTTACATACTCTTGATGTGAAGTGCATTTGAAATGTTTGTCGGCTTGTTGCAGTACTATAAACACAGAGCTGTTAATAATGGTTATGTAGATTACTGTGATTTGAAAACTTAATCCACAAAACTTATATAGTGAAGAACTAGTAAGTTTTTTTCCTAAATAAAGAACTTTAACACTACATATTTTAACAGTAAACAGGGATTGCTTTTCCTTTAGTGTTCAGAATGACACCATATTCTTAAACATACTCCTCCCATGAAGTGTGTTTGTGTGTGATGCCATATTTCTTTTTCAGGTAAATGCAGTCTTCCTTATAGAAACGAAATTACCTGTTGCTCTCTCAGTTGTTTTATATTCTAACAATAAATAAAAAGAAAAGATCACTGACTGTGCATTGTACCTGTATTTATAGCTTATGGTTGTTATCAGGAAGCTCTGTGAGAAAAAAGGGTTAGCCTCCAGGTAAACCAGCTAGTGGAGGTTTTACATTTGTTTGCACATCTCAGTATATTCCTGTTGAGGTCAAGTTTGCACAGTCATCTAACTTCTGAACAAACAGTAGACTTTAACTTGTTTAAAATCTGTCTTAAACACCAGTAATGTGGCTCCGGTTTATCAGCTAATCTTGAATTTATTCTGTGGTAAATCTTTGAGCTGTTGAGTGTCTTTAGATGGGGTGAATTTTCAACTTTTCGTTGAACTGAAAACTGTCTTAATTTTTTCTTCTATGTATATGAATTATTTTTGTTACAAAGCCACTGATATGTGCACAATTGTAATTTTACTCAAGTATGTTGCAGTTGTAAATATTAGAGCATTTAATCTCGTGCTCTACCTTTATTTAGCGATTACCTAATTTGCCAGTAGCTTTATAATTTTTTTAAGATAATTGTTCATTATTTTGTCAATGTTATTTGAATTTAGGATACTAGGAGCCTCTTTCTAGGGACTTTGCCTAGCTAGCATGTCCTAACATTTGTTCTTTGTCTTGCATAACTTTAGTAATCTTTGTCATTACATGTAACTTTGTTGCTCTGTATGGCATATTATTGTATCCATAAACATGGTAATTTTGATACAGTTATACTTTTACAGTGGTACATAATCCGAGGACTAGTATAGAATTAAACTGAGTGCAAGATGAGGGCGGGGAAGGGTTTTGTTCTTGGTAATTTAGATGTGAAACCTCTAAGGAGCTATCATGTGAAACGACATAGGGTGGTCGTGCTACTGTATAATGGGGGATGATAATACCAGGAATTTTAATAAGATTTTGTAAAGAATATCCAAAAAAGTAGTGAACTTATTTTCAGTATGACATAGAAAACAATGTGAATATTTAAGGTCTGTGACTACACTTAAACTTCACTAAGAATTTGCAGAATTGTTTTGAGATGTGGGAATAAAGGTAATTTTGTTGAATCTTTATTGGTGCTAATGATGGACAGTTTAAAAGGTAGCTAGTATATATTGTTATGGGTCAGTACTTATTAGTACTTCCAAAATTGAATTTGAAATGCTATGTATTCACTTTTCACTCTGTAAATGTAATTCTTTACAATGACTTTATTTATTAAAGGGCAGCCAGTTGTAATTTGTACAGGATTGTGTGAGCTATTCAAACTCTTTAACCTCTGAAGAGGATTATAGGTTCTAAAACCACCATGGGGATGAATATGAAAATCCTTTTAAGTTTCATTTCCATTAAATGAAAACCCCTCTTACTCATACTACCATTAATTTGCTTTCCCCATCTCATTTGCATAAAATAGTTCATCAGCCTGGTCCCAATAGGCTCAACCAAAGAAAAAGACTCCAATGAATGGACATTATTATTGAGTCTTCTTGTAAGTAGCCATAAATAAACCAAAATAGTATCATCAAATTTAGGTATGAAATTCCACATGTGCAAAGTACTGTTAAGGTGATTTACATTTTTGATGAGATTTTTTTTAATATTTGAAATATTAAAAAGCATTATCTTTAAACATCCTTTAAAAGAGTGATTCATTTTTCAGTTGTCTTTTCCCTAGATCATAGTTTTGTTACCTTTATGCAGAAGCACATTGCTTAGTAAGGCTTTACTTCTACCTCTTTAAGTAGTTTTCCAGTATTGAGCTGTGCCCCCTAAATATATGCCTTAGCTACTTTAAAATATGTTTTCAGAACCAAAAAGCAGAGTGTTTTTTCACTGAAACATTCTTGGAAGGCCTGCTGTACCAAACTAGCAGTATCCTTTAGCGGTAAGACCTTGCAAAATGTCCCAATTCCCTTTTGTTGTTGAACCTGAAGTTTGTTTCTTAGGTTTGTCTTTGAAAGCAGTTACAGATGCATGTTGATCTTCCTCTGTGTGTGCAGGTGCATTCTGGTTAGAGTTGTTGAGTCCAGATTTCTACCATGATATATCCGTGGTTTCATGTGGAATATCATGAGAGGTGCTTGCATGACTTTGTACCAACAGATTATAATTAGGTAGAATACCTTTCTTTTTTTCTTTGGTCTGTCTTCCTTGACCTAAAGAAATGACTGGTCGTCTTCAGAGAACCAAATTTTAAATGTTTTTGTTAGTTACCAATTGCCTTTCCTAGCATTTTAAGCACATTTTTTGGTTATATTTGAGAATTTAAATTGCTGGGTTTTATTCCATAACCAACCTTAGAAATAAACCAGTGCATACTTATGCATGACTTGTGTACTGTAGAAGTATCTTGGGTCGATTAGATATGTTAGGGTATTTTGCATTTACTGTGGAAATAAGTAAGGAGGATTTGTTTGTTTTTTTTTAACATGGTAGTAGCTCTGAAGGAAGACAGTTATATTCTCAAAATATCTCACCATTTCCACATTTTATCTAAACAGTAAGCAATTGTTTCTTTAGCTACTTCTGTGCTTAAATTGCTAGGTGACTTTTAAGATCTCTGCTGAGAAAAATTTGAGAGCTCTTGTGAAGAATCTTTGATTTAGCAATCTTTTGCTCAAGAGGCTTTCTTGGGAGGCAGTAGGGTTAACTAACTGCATTTACCCAGATGAAGGATCAGTGAATCCCACACCCAGGAAACGCGTTAACTGAGCTCACAGAATGATACTTGCTAATCTTGTGTGCCCGTGTATTTATGGTAGGCTGATTTAGATGGGGATCTTTGCATTGGAAAACAGCACATTCTGTCTCTGCCCTCCTAGAGTACCAAGTTATGATACCAATGTATTAATTTGAGAATTCACAATTCCTCTAATATCTGAAATTTGATTGCTGTAAGCCAAATTAGAAGTGCGCTTATTTTGTAAGGGAAGTTTGCCTTTATAGTAGAGATGATCTTGCCAGTGGGTCTGGAATGCTCAGTGTTTTAGGTCTGATTGGCCATGCATCCATTTTTTATTCTACAGTGTCGATTTGGGCACAGCGAGCTTTTGCTTGTGTGACTCCTCTTTTTCTGTTCTTTATAATTTACTAGTATCTATTTTCGGCTGACAGGTTCTTTAGAATAGGTTGATAAGCAAGATACATTGAAGGTTGTTGTATGGCTAGGAGTAATTCTGTTTTCATAAAGGTGAGTTCACCCATTCACTGTGATCCTTTAACCCCAAAGGAAATTCTGAGAGCTAATTCCCTTATTTCGAGGAAACCTCGCTTAAAACCTGTTTAGTAGTTGGTTTGATTTGCCTATTGTTAAGTAATGAATACATTCTTTTAAGGTGTATTTTTCAAGCAGCTTCACTTGGTTTGAAAAACTTCACCTGTACTCGTTTGTTGTCTGCAATGATTGGGATTTTGTTTTCTGAATATGCTCAAAACCCCCAAGGACTGTTGAATAGGATGTTTGCTGATAGAAAATCCAAAACAGGAATGTGTGTGTGTGGCATGAATTTAATTAGTTACAGAATTTCAGGACAGTATCTATTACGAGGAATTATTAATAAAATTTGTTTATTGAAAATGTAAATCCAAGGCTCTAACATGTCTTGTTAATGTGAATCAGAAATAACTTTGAGTCCCTGGGAAATAAGGTCTTAATGTAAGTTTCTCTTTATCTGAGTAACTTCATAAGTCTTCAAGGAGTGTGGCCTTTGAGTTCATTAAGATTGTCTGTATTCTAGTCTCAGACACACCACTTGGTAGCTGATGTCCTCGCGGTGAATTACTTGACTTTGTGCCTTGATTTCCTTACCTACAAAATCTACCTATTCATAGGGTTGTGAGGTTTAAGGTTTGGGCGATCAGGGAAGGCTAAATAGATGGCATTGAGGAGATTCTTGATAGAGGTATATTTTAGCTATTGGAATGATGAAATCCAGTCCAGGTGCATTAAAGTTGGGTGTGTATTAAACTGCATGCTTACTGTTTCCAGAATTTAAGTTGTTCATTCTAATTCATACTTCGGGATTTTCTTGGTTAAACTGTTGAATCACCTCCCCAAAAAGCAGAGAGGAATTGCAGTCATTTGGAAGGGGCGTTATCCATGAAAAAATACTTAATCATAAACTGCTTTATTATTGCTGCTCCCTCCAACCCCTTGCCTTCCCCACCGATTTACCCGCACCTTCTCCTTTAAAGAAAATTGAAGCCATGCAGTGGCTTTAATAAAACTAGGATAGAAAAGTTACTTTCTCTAAAATGCATCTTAAGCCTAAATGTAAAATAAATGTTTTGAAATCAATTGAAAGAGAGTTGTCTTAATCTTCTGTTGATAACACCAGTAAGGGCTTGTTGTATTAGCATATGATAAATTGCATGAGTTTTATTTCGGAACATAAAGTCTGTCAATTCCACCTTACTGAAGTTAGTAATTCCGTTTTGTAATACATCCTACTCCATTGTTTCTTCCCTCTTTTTTTGCCCTGCTGTTCTCAATATAATGAAAACAGTTGTACATTTTTGTTTGAGCTCTGCTGTATGAACTGCCTTCTTCCCCCTCCCCAGTACCACCCTCCAAAGCAGTGAAGAGCCTCACAGATGAAAGGGTTCTTCTTTTATTGCCATGAAATTAAGAGCTTTTAGACCTTACAAGTGTCAGGGCATATACCCCAGGTCAGTCTTAGGTTTGAGTTTTGTTTTAGCCTTTCAAGTTATAATCCACAAGAGCAATTACTCTACGGATGAATCCAGCCCTAGTTTTGCACAAGTGTGAGAAGTGATGTCAGTAGGACAAAGTACTTGAGCTTTTCCTCAGAATTGTTTGCCATTCCAGTTGTGCACTCTGTTAATTGTAGTGATCACCAGTGAACATACAGACTGCCTCCATTGGGTACTTTAATGTTGACAGAATCTCCTGGGAAGCTTTTTTAAAATGCAAGTTTCTACCTTACATACCTTTAAGCTGAATTAATACTTGCAAGTGCAGCACGGATGAGGAATAAAGATGACCTGGTAGGTGATGGAGTCTTTTGACTGCTCATTGAGCAGATGAAGTGGTTTGTATCCAGTGTAGAAGGCCTCAGACTGCTGTAGCGGTTGTGCTGGAGGAAGTGGATGGTGGAGTCCTGTATACCCCAGTCCCATACTCCAGAGCTTGCTCTTTTCCACTCTGGCAGCTCTCCTCACTCCGCCACTGAGAAATGTCTCCCGTGCAAGGACTAAGGTAGGTTCAAGTTAGGGAAGTGCTGTAGAGTTGGAACTACTCTGGGGAGTTAGATTTCCTTTGGTGGAGTAGACAGGAAGATTCAGTACATAATGAAGTGTACTTCGGAATATAATTAAAAACAAGCATTGTGAGTGGTGAAAAGAGCTGTGGCTAAGTGAAAAAGGTGAAGCTTTTCACACCATTAAAGTAACCAAAGTCATTAACTGGACTGGTGGAATTTGTTAAATCAGCATCACAGTGGGGTTTTGTTTGGGTAAAACTTAACGATGTAACTGTATTTATAAACCACACATCTGAGAGGCAGCGGGCTGTAAAGTCACACAAATGACTGAGTGACTGTCCTGACTTCCACCTACCGGTAGATGGCCTTGAGAAAGTCACTTAGCTCTCAACCCTATCATTTAACAAAATGAGATAACCAACCCAAACAACAGAATTAAATGAGGTGCTTTTTTATATTAAGAGTTCAGGAAATACTAGTCCTTCCAGTGACCACTTAACTGTACTCCCTATCTCCTCTCAGACCCTCCTCCTCCCAAAGGAAGTTAAAAAGGGAGCAAACATCTGGGCAATGATAAAAGAATTCCAGCCTGTTATGTCTTAAACACAAGGAATGACAAAACAACAGAAAATTCTTAGGACCAAGGGTCACCTATTGAAAACAAAATTTTGAAGGTTCTGTTCCAAAGTTGTGTTCAGTATTCTATGAAGAGGGTTAGGGTTGTCACCAACTTCATGTGTCCATTGCTATGATACACATGTACAGAATATGCTCCCTAGCCTTTCCCATATGTAGTCTATTTGCTCCTAAATCAGATAAAACCATCCAGATTTTAAAGAATGCTTAAGATCCCAACTAAAATTTTTTAAAAACCACTTTAACAAAATACTTCATTTTGTCAGGTTATGCTGATATACAGGTAAATGAGGGATGTAGGTCTTAAATTATCAAATATGAGAAAACTGTACAAATTACAGACAAGGTATACCCAGAAAGACGTATCTAAACATGTCGACC